TGCTATCTATCTATCTATCTATCTATCTATCTATCTATCTATCTATCTATCTATCTATCTATCTATCTATCTATCTATCTATCTATCTATCGTTTTGATAAAGGCAGTCCGTGGGACTTGCCATGTGTGAACACCGACACAAAAGAAAATAATGCTGTTGTTGTTGAAGAACGTGAGGTTAGATGTGTGTTTGGACGTGTGAATGTGAGAAAGGCGTGTGGTCCAGACGGTGTGCAACCCAAAATTCTTAAAATATGCTCAGCACAACTTAGTTCTATGTAGACCTATATTATCAACCAGTCGTTGTTGACACATGCTATTCCCACTATTTGGAAATGTTCTGAAATCGTCCCCCTTCCAAAGAAAGAAAACGTTACTGAAATAAATGACCTAAGACCAATAGCCTTAACATCCGTAGTTATAAAATGTCTAGGAAAAACTGTGCTTAAAAGACTACGAATATACATAGAACCCATTTCAGGACCCTCTACAACTCGCATATCGTCACAGGAGAAGTGTGGAAGACGCCATTCTACTATTTCTTGACAATATATTATATAGACACTTAGACAAGCCAAAAATATACTGTAAGATCCTGTTTGTTGATTTTTCGTCTTCCTTTAATACTATCCAGCCAGCTATCCTTTTAAAGAAATTAGAAAACACAGGTGTTAACGTCAATTTAGTATCATGGATAGGCAATTTTCTTGCCAACCGAAGGGAGTATGTAAAATTAAAGCATTCTTCATCGACATACATCACAACAAATACAGGGGCCCCTCAAGGAAGTGTTTTGTCACCAGTTCTATTCACACTATACATGAACGATTGCCAAATAAACAACAGTAAATTAAGTTGATAACATTTGCACATGATTCAACCATAGTTGTGCTAATTCAGGCTGACCATAACGAAACCGCTTACGGAATTTTGTACTTAACTTTTCTGAATGGTGTGTAAATCATAAGCTGCTTTTAAATGTGAAAAAAATCCAAAAGAACTTGTTGATTTTAGAAAAAAGAAACTACCCCTGCAGCCACTCGAAATCAAATGTGAAAACATCGAGCAAGTGTCAGACTATAAGTATTTTGGTGTTATTTTGTAAACAAACTCAACTGGCGTGTCCACACTTCTCTCCTGCAGAAAAAGGGAACAAAAGACTGTTTTTTCTAAGGAAGCTAAAGTTTTTTAAAGTTGATAAAACATTGATGTCTATATTCTACCATTCAACCATAGAAAGTATGATCAATTTTTGTATAACAGCATGGGCCGGGAACACAAGACAACAAGATAAAGAAAAATTAAATTGACTAATACGGAAAGCATGTACAATTTCAACATCTACATTCCCCTACTTGGATGAATAGTACATAACAGCTTGCAATAAAAACAATTAATTCCATCTTTTAAGACAACAAACATCCCTTGTTCCCTCAAATAAAAACATCAGTCAGAAGTAAATGACCTGGCTTCTGATCTGTAACAAAGAAAGATATAGAAGGTCATTTTTAACATCATTCATTAAAATGCTTCCATCTTAACCATCTTGTATAAGTATACTTACGAGCTTACAGCATGCATCACAATAACATTGAGTGTGTATCTAGCTTAAGATTATTATTGGTTACATTGTTGCTCATCTATATTATTCATGTGATTGTAAGCCTACGTTGTGTGTGCATGTGTGTGTGTGTGTGTGTGTGTGTGTGTGTGTGTGTGTGTGTGTGTGTGTGTGTGTGTGTGTGTACACGTGGTGAAACACCAAACCAATGAGCCAAGATCTGGACAATAAAGATGTATCTCATCTATCTTATCTTATCTTATCTTATCTTATCTTATCTTATCTTATCTTATCTTATCTTATCTTATCTTACCTTATCTTATCCTATCTTATCAACAGATAGGAAATGTCAATTTCTTAGATTTCATTATTTTGACAACCACCTGATTTCACCATGATGTCACACAATTTGTTCAGGGCTGAAAGGGAAAATACGACTGGGCAATCGAGAACATATTTCTTTTTTCTGCTTGTTCCTCCTCTGGATTGTCTCCCTTCTTGCAAATGTGAAAACAGATTTCAGCTTTGTCATGAAACTTTAAAGCAAAGAATTACATTCTTAAAAGACCTGTTGAATGTATAGTGTCACTTTATTTTGCTCTTTTCGACTAAGAGTTTATGCTGTTCGTAGAAATAAATTCTTCATTTTGAGAGAGCTCAGTTTGCACACGGAATACGAGACGGAGATGATATCTAAAGGGCAAAAAAAACCACCCCTCCCAATTTACCCCTGGTACGAAAATACAACATCTACCGGTAAAATAATCAAGTTTATTAGCCTACGGCGCAAAAGACCCATACAAATTTGTCAAACAAACATTGATATTTTTTAATGTCAGTGTAGCCAAAGACCTTTGATGAATGACTACGGTCTTTTATTTGGAGGGGTGGGGTGGGGGTGGGGGGTAATACATATGTTTTTACATCCCCATCAACGCAATTTAGATCATTTAGGAGTCAGGGATGCTCATTATTAAAAACAATCAGGAAACGACAAAAACAATTTTTGACTTGAGACACCTGAATGGACATGAAGGTCTTGAACATCTAGTTCCCACTGGCGAAATTTAAGGCAAACGAGGCAGGGGTAGGCCCAGAGCAACCTACTTAGAAAACCCAAACAAATGGGTAACGGTGAAATATTAGGGGAACGTAGCTTTTTAAGAGCACCCGAACAAAGAAAATGAAATCGAACTATTAAAAAAAAAAAATGTTTATATTATCTAGGAACATTTTTTTAGATTGAAAATATACATATATTTACACTGATTTTTAAACATTTTAACATTTTAAAATCTAACTACTGACCCAAGCCAGCCGTACAGTAAATTGTGAACAAAACTAACTTGTGTTTCGCGCTCTCATATGACCTTATGCAGTTGCGAGCACCGTAAAACCCTATACTACTACTCACACGCTTATTTAAAATAACACGAACGTTAGCAATAGCCGCAGCTGGGTTAAACAATGCAGATGTAGAGGCAGCGTCACTTTTCTATTAATAAAACTATTCAGAACACTTGCTCAACCTGCCTTGCACTCAGCGGCCTAAAACACTCTTATGAGATGTTTCTGTAATGCAATAATTATTGTAATTTAATAGAGAAAAAAAGAAGAAAAAAAGAAAAGAAAGAAATTCTGGAGTTGCGTCCCACTTTTACAACCGAGTCATATATCGATTACTTTACCCCCCTCACCATGACTAAATTAAAATTGATTATTGACTTCACTATCTTACCACTGATAAATCAATACGGTTTTCGATAATGAAAGTCCAGCAACCAGTTTTATTTGCTTGAGTACGGTTTGATTTTACTTTTTATCTCCCTTCCTTTCTTTCGTGCCCAATCTCACGAGCTTTACATTAACTTGCCTTGCCTGCTTTCACTGAACTTTGGCGACTCTAGCATTAGTTTGGATCAATTCTTTTCGTCCCCATCAAGCTATGGAATTGGTTTAAAGTCTCTTTCAACACTGGACGTTTATCGATTTCAGGAAACACGACCTTCAGATTTCACGCCTGTGACCTCCTGACCGATAGAAGTTGGCGCAGAGCAATAAAAACGGATGCAATACGTGTCACATCCCCCCCCCAATCAAAGGCTGATATTTCTTGCGTCACGAAACTTTGTCAATGTTTCACCCCCTGTGGTTGATAGCGATTGCTGTAATTCGTATTTCTCTTTACAAAACGTTTACCCGGCTGGGGCCAGACTTATGGTTTTACATGTGACCACATTAAAAATGTTTCGGCGGTCTCTCTGTCCTGTTTAAAACGGATATAAACCTGTTTTGAGGATACACGAGGTACAGATCCGATTTAAAACAACTTGCATGATAATTGTTACTACTGTCATTACTGCTATTACTATTATTGTTATTATTATCATCATTAAATTTATTATTATTATTATTATTATTATTA